CCTCACTCAAGCCCTACCTGCCGGATGGCCTTCTCACCTCCGAGTCCATATAATAGGGGAGGTGGGGGTCAAGTGCTGTCACCCAGTGGGCACCATCACAGCAACACTTTCAATGCAGCAACCACAGTGGTAGTTTAGTACCATAACCACATGCTAGAGCCCTGCCACTACACAGGGTAAGCTCACAGTCTTACTCATACACCTTAATTTATGCTGGTCCATACATGTGTATATCAATCCCAATTTTATTAAGACAATGCCTTAAAAGACTTAGCTCCAAGCACACACAAGAATAATCAATCATTTCAATGCTCTTTATGGTTAAGGTGAAGACCATGGAGCTAAAATAGTTCATGTGCTGTGACTTACATACAAAGTTACTTGTATTGACATGCTGATGTTGACCATTATTTTAGGAGAAACAAAGGTGCAAGCTAAACTGAAGCAAGAGGTGATCTGCCTGCGCTCCTCTCTTGTTTCAGTTACATAACTGGTCCTACTTTTAAATGCCAATATTATCTAAGTCTGTTCTTACCATGAATCAAGTCTTATTATATGATAACAAAAGAATATACCTACACAGTTTTGCAGTGTTTTGATGTACATGTACCAAAAGATAAACAATTAAGTTATATTTAGTTTTTAAGAGAGATTAATTGTAAGGTCTAGGTTAAAATTATAATTAAGTTTATAGTTGAATTTGCAGAATTGTTCAGTGATAGCACTCCTCTGTGTGATATTTCCTAAATGGATAATTATATATATATATATATATATATACATATATATATATACTTTAAATGTGCTTACTTATGTATCTCAAGTTCCACCACAGACTCTAGTGCTTGTAAGATTTACATCCTCCACACAAGATCTGCTCATATGTACAATGGAGCTCTCCAGGACTCAGCAGATATTCCTCAGTCTAGTGATTAGGTAGGTACAGGGTGCAGTGAGGAGCCAAGCACCATTCCTCGGATCGTCCAGTAGTTCTGCTGTCGTCATCATGAAGGCCTCATAATGGGCTCTGCTGTGCATTTGTCATCTGGGCCTCTTTTTGGCCTCTGTTATTTCGTCATTATGCTAGCCATCCAACTTTGTTCTGTTGTCAAAAGTTAGTCAGTTTAATGGCTACACAAGATGGTGACATCATCCAGATTTAAATCTGCTATTTCATTAGCATTCAGAAGTGGTGTATTAAATCATAAACATGTCATCATAATGCAGGCCTCGAAGTCTACTGTGATGTAATTGAGGCCTCCAGCCAGTATGACAGTGTGTTGTGGTTACAGTAAAGTTAGCAAGCATAGCCCACAGATCTGCTGCATTATCATCTGGTAGACAGAATGTTGTGGTCTTTGCCATAACATAGTCATGCAAGCCCTCAAATTTGCTACCCTCAGTCGTACTCATATCCATCATTATTATATTATCATTATCATTATCATCAACATAAAATGAACCCATGCAACCTTTGGTTCGTTGGTCTCCCTCTTCCCAGGGTGCACCTCCCATGCTACTTCTACTTGTCGGAAAACAGTGCCCCACATTCTCACTGTTGGTGTGTATTTTTCACTTTAGTAAGTGATGACAATGAAAGCATACTGTACATGATGTGTTCTTGTAACTTCTGGCAAGTTTGACGTTGTGATATAATAGTCACCAGTGGTCCAAAGGTTATGTTTGGGTATTAGATCCCAGGTTCTTGCTCCAGCAGTCTTGAGATTGGCAGCCAGGTTCATTGCCTCATACAACACAGAACACTTGTAGAAAGACCACTGGATCTGCTTAGTCATCTAATCACCATTTCCCTGGTCCATATTTGTCAGTGTGAGTAGCATCGAGTGTGTGGCTGCCAGCCAAGGTTGCATCATGGTACAAATCCTACAATATCTATCGAAACCAACTTAGCAACATCCAGCCAATCGGTGTTTTTTTTTTTTTTTTTTAAGTAATAGACAACCAATCAAATTAGCAAAATGTAATACTTAGGCATACTCATACTTAAGCTGATTTGGGCTGATGTTGTAGGGTTCGTAGCCACGAGTAAGTCAGCAGCATACCAAGTGTCAGGTTGACAAACAATGGTGCTGCAAATAATCATGCTAAATGTGAGATTTAGTGATAGGTCCAGTCCACTCTTTCATAATGTTACTATTAATTCTCTTTGTCGCTCAGCTTTACTTACTATTTTTATCCCCACAAAAAATGCACAAAAAAAATAATGATTGTTGTAATTTGTTTTATGAACTCAAGTCATGGTGTAGTATTTTTCCGTATTCAGTATTTTGTACAGTTTTGAAAAGGAGTATAAACAAAGTGCCACCATAAATGTTTTTTTTTTCTCGAGGATATATTGTAAGTGACAGAGCTCTTATATGTCTGGATATTATCTTGACCTTTAGCTGTAGTGATACTTTGGAGCCATATCAATATTATAGCTTTCAGATTAATGATCTAAATACAATGAATAATCAAGCCAGTCTGCCAAAAATCTAGACTAAGCAAGGCAGTGAATCATCATAATTGAGACTAACTTTGCCATGTATAACAGCATATTAAGTAGCTGTCAGACTTCCAGCTGTACTGAGAATCAGCTTTGATGATTCCTTGCATTTTTGGGCAATCACATATTGTGTGGTTTCCCAAATGTTTAATAGTTTTTAGTGGTATGTGTAGTAGGGATTGGGTTATTATAGTATTAGGAAACTTTGTGAACTGTCAAGGTCAGGTACCAGGCCAGGTACAGCATTACTGGTACTTGTCAATTTTCTCCACCTTGGTTAGCAATAGTCCCTTAATAGCAGTAGATTTGTTTCTACTGCCACTGTTTTGTTTAATTGACTAGCAGTGGTGATGCTTGCTCCATGATTTTTGCTTGTTAGCTTGGCCTGATGCCTGGGTGGTTTTATATTCAGAGGAGCACTGTATAATCTGGGCACTGTTGATCCCACACTGGCATAGTTTAGTATAATAACCGTCAGGACTTTGCACAAGACCAACAGAAGGTGCACAGTCTTACCCTCACTGGTGCATGACTGTGTGCTTCTAGCTGTAATATAGCTATATCAGCTCTGACCTGACATGTAAAACTTGTAGACTTCTGAGGTCCTGTGTCAATGTGCAGCAATCTCAGTAATGGTGTTAGTGCAGCTGTAGTAATGGATGCCCTAATTAAAGGTGAGCATGTGCTCCTCTGAAACTCGACTGCCCTAAAAGTAATTCTTCCAAGATTATTTAGCCAGTTAAGATACTCGCCTTCTCTCCCTGTGTTAACTATGTACAAGAACCAAACTTTTAATTTTTTTTTGTGGTTATTATAAATGATTTACATACAGCACTGTATATAAACTGTGCTGCAAGTTGTACAAGCGTTAGATGCCACCACTGCACACACTCTTGCTGAGAGGGATCTCTGGGGTGTTTCATTATAGATCTAGGGTTATGTATTCTGTGTCCCGAGGTTTACCTGAGGTTAATAGTCATCTCGCATTTGCTAAGTTGTAGCTGGCTGCTACAATTCTCTTCGCAGTTGTGATTTTTGCTAGGGTGATTGTTATTCTGCCTTTAAAGAGGAACTAATTGTTAATGATAGGTTTTATTTGATAGGAAATTGTTTAGTTTGTTTAAGATTAGGTTGCATAGTATTTTTAGGGTGATGAGGTTAGCTTATGGCATTTTCTCAGGAACCTTTGTGGCGCAGGGGACGGATAATCTGCTCAGCACTGGTGAACAGCTTGCTGTTCTCATTAGTGAACAGTGTGTTGTTATGCACTGCTTAGCAGTCTGATACTCTTCTTAGGGAACAGCTAGCTCCTTAAGGAACACTGGACTCCTTAGGTTAAGTAGCAGTCTGCTCCATGGGTTTCATTTATGTTTCTTGGGTTGTGGAATAGTTGGTTCCCTAGGTTAGTTTAAAGTTTCTTCAGTTACAGAAACAATATATTTTTCAGCTTCTTAAAGCAGATTCTACTTGTTATAAAAATGTAATAATTAACACAAAGCTTTAGAACAGATTGTCTCACTAGTGACAGATAGTATTTGGTTACTGTAAGATGAATCTGTTCCTTTGCAAAAATTGAAGCATTAGTTTGTTTACTGAATAAATAGTTTGTTTCTTAGCTGAAGGAAAGATCTGCTCGTTTGCTTAATGAGGAGTGTGCTTCTCAGTTGAGGGTAATAGACCACAGCTGGGTTCTAGGGCAATAATGTTCAACTGTGTTTTGAGTAGCAGTCTGTTACTTGAGGGCTAAGCAAGTCAGCTGCTTGGTTCTGAAAGGCAACCTGCTGCTCATTTCTTGGTAGTCCACGTGTTGCAGTGCATTTCTCTCAAACTATGCAGGACTCCCATCTGAGTTTCCCAGTCTGCCTGTTGGGTCAAACTCATTCATTGCATTCGACGAATAGTAGGTGTAAGGATCTTTGTAGTTGGAAACTCCGTCTCCTGCATTTATTCTCATTATTAGTGCAATATTTTATCAAAATACAAAGATCATAAAAATAATCTGATGCATAAAATTGATGCACATAAAAAACTCAAGGATGTCTTGTGGACAATCGTATGTGATGCATGATATATTCGTGCACATGGATGACCGTAAAAGTGATTGCATGATTTATACTCATGCTTTAGGGTGACAGTTAGTGATGCATGGTGTATTCATGCTTTAGATTGACTAGAGAAGAAGCGCAATGCCTTATTCATTCCTCTTCAGAAAAGAAGTGTAGTTGTGATGTTTAATGAAGTAACGCTGATCAACTACTAACTTATAACTACCGTCCTAGCCTGCGTCTTCAGTATCAAGAACTCCACACAAGTCTTGTTTCACATCTCTTGTGATAACTGGTCTTCATGATTGTTTTATTGGTATACAAAAGAACCTGTGACAAAGTAACTGCTGGGTGCAGGGAAGCAAGGCTTGTGTGGTCAATTATATGTGCACAAGCTGCGTTTGGTGCTACGTGTGATCCCTGGACTGTTGATGGAGGACCAAAGCCTCAATTGTTGGCCACTGGCATCCTAGCTTCTGCGCTCGCCTGTTCTCCCTGCTGCCCACACACCTTCATCCACCCATCCACACTGTGCATGTCACATTTCTGCACCTATCGGCGTAAAGACACTCTGAGTGTAGGTGGCTGTGTTAGTATGACTGGGGTGACTATGATAATTTTAGTTTTGCCTGTGATGTTTTACTACGTTTCCTGACTAATGACTGGTGAGTTTCTTGTTTTATGGGTTAATTATAGTACTAATGACTAAGAGACTATTAATGTACTCAATTTATTGTACGGATGAGTAGTAATTATATAAATATAATTATAAAATATATATAAATATATATATATATATATATATAAATATATTAACTAGCACATAGTGTATGGTAATGTTTTGAAGTGTAGTTAAATGAAAGTGTGGTTGTGGTGATACTTTGATAGTATGGGTGGGCAGCATCTCCAGGACGTGAAAGGTGCTGTGTCAGGAGTGCTACAGGGTCTTGAATCTACCCAGGGACTATTCAAGTTCACCATTACTTCCAATTAGTAAGATCTCAAATTTGCATTATTGCCTCTGTTTCCCCTTTTTTTTCAGCTTTACTACCTAATCATTAAGCTCACTTGCAGTGTTAAATTTGTGCCAGATACGGGTGAAAGAAAAATGTCCCTGGTCAGGTTTGAAGCTCTGCACATCTTCCTTGCTTAGGGGCCTCACACAACTTCCTCCCTTAGAAAATAGTCAATAGTCCTGCTTGGCATCTATACAAAAAAAATGAAAGTGAAAGCATTTAATAAAAGTAAATAAAAACATAATAAAAAAGAAAATGTATGCCAGGTAGTGTGTATGGTGTGAGGTGCCTAAGGTTGTTATGGTTGTGAGTTGAATCCAAGTGTGATACTCCCTCTCTGGTCAGACACAAGGGCTTCACCACCCTCAGCAAGTGCAACGTATATGTGCCTTGTGTTTGATTTATGGTGGCCTGCAATGACACCATCACCACCAACACCACCACTTCAACCACCTGTGCTTGTGTGCCTTCTATAAGAGGGGTCACAGTCTGCACAACTTCACACAGTGAACACTTTAGCATGTGAAAATAGTTTAAAAAAAAAAGAAAAAAAAAAGAGTAGCAACACCAAATGCAAAGCCTCATATAATTGATTAACACACCCTGCCTCATTTTGTTAATGGAAAGTGCTAACCAAGAAACTACTACAAGGACTTCCTATTAATAAGTATGTAGAAAGCAACATTGACCTATATATATATAAGATTTCTTTTGGAGGCTGTAGTATGTTGGACAGTTAGCAGACAGTGATGGGAGGCATGTGGTTGTCCACATGGCCGGTCTCAGGGAGCAGTCGACCAGATGGCAGTAAGAAGGGCAGTTCAAGTTTGCATCAGCTGCTAACTGGAGAGATTAAGTTGGCTAAAGGCCTACGGAGTACTTACTGGCTTCACTACCACTGCTGCTACTGTTACCCATCACACTTGTTTCTGCTCTTTTTTTTTTTTTTTTTCTTTTTTTTCGAAAACTTAATATTGCTACTGCTGTGCAAGAGGTTGTTGCAATCAGGAACACTGTGGTGCGTATGTGGTGTCAGCCATCCCACACCTAAATGTGCTAAGTAATTCCTGTTGTAAAAGTGTCCTGATTCCAAAGATCCTTGGAGTTCCAGTTAAGGCTTTTGGGTGATAAAACTTGTATTATGATTTTTGTACCTGACTATGTACAAGTCAAGATATTCTTTTAATATTGCTATATAGATTAAAATATACACAGTTAATTCCATGAAGTGGTAATAACTGTAGTTTAAATGAACTTGACACATGCAGTCAAAGAGTGACTTAACTTGCAGTCAACTACTCGGTTCTCTCCTCGTCAAAATAACAATAATGTTGGTGAGTAGTTGATCTCAGTTTTGTTACCATCATGTTGGAGAGTGAGAAGTGTATTTAGTGGGTGTAGTGTGTTTTGTGCTGGCAGTGGGGGAAAGGGAGGATGGGGAGAGAGTGATTGGGTAAAATATACCTTCACCCTCTCTAGAAACAGCTCTTCTCATTCAGCACTTAATAATGACTGTTCTGCCTCCCACCTGGCTTCATTGTGTGCTTTATTTTGTAGATTAGACTGAAGTAAATTTTATAATGGTAGAATGTCACAATATTGTCACAATCCTTTTTTCTAACTTTCTTGGAAAGTTAAAAGTATATGTTGCTTCCTGCAGCTTCATAACCCACTGTCAGAAGTGAGGCAGCTAAAACCTAGGTCACTATAAGAACTGATGGAGCTCTGAATGGTGAGCCAGTGAATTCCAAAGTATGGCTGCACTAGGGTCACCTTTCAGTAACCCCTTTACCCCACAACCACCACCCCACAACTACTGCCCACTTCTCTGTATTGCACCTCAAAGACAATTGTTGCAGCTTTGTCAACTTTGAAATGCATTTCAAACATGAGATTCCAAAGATACCTTGAAGGAAGTAATGGGTGCCATTTGTAGCAACTGATAGGTTTATGACTTCTTGGTTATGGTGCCAAATTAAACTAGTAATAACTGGATATGATCAATAGTAAGTAATATTTCTCTTATAATAATTATAGCTTGAATGTAAGTTTTCTTAAGTTTAGCCTATCTGGTCATGTCTTCTTGTAGGAAAATACACAAAACAATCTAGGCTGTGTTCCTTTGTCACCGATTCCAGTGTTGCTCTTAATCACCTAGATGTAATAATTAAAGTGATGGTTGCGTTCTCATGGTTCTCGTTTTGAACATTTTAATTAGGGACATGTATACTGATGAGGGCATAATAGTTGTATCTTATTGATACTACCATCAAGACATATCGCACACTCCGTGCACGTTCTCTTGAGTAATCTGTGCGCGGTGGTGAACCAAAGCATTTGTTGTGTGTATTAGCATCACCCCGCAGCTGCAGTATGATGCTGTTGTTGTGGCATCCCGCTGCCATTATGCCCCAAACTCCTACCCAGAGCTTCTCCAACCCTCCTCCTCCTCAGGGAGGGCTAGGGTGGCAATGGTGAGCCCCCAACTGTAACAACCTTTAGTGTGTGGTGATAGTTGAGGGCTCCTGGGGTTATTGGTGGCAACCTGCCATAGCTCCACCTGAGGCTAGACAGGCAAGTCTTTCCATATAACTTAAATGGTATTATCACATCAGCACCGGTAACGAGTCAGAATTTTGTATTAGATGAGTGATGTACGTTTTATACATATATTTTTAGATGTGCAAGGCAACGGTCGTTGGTGCAGGACTTAGCGTAATATTGACTGATGCTATGCCCTGTGTGGTTGTTGCTGCCAGTATTTTTTCCTCAAGTAATATGAGATTGAATCACTGGTATATTATTGGCGAATTGCTCATACATGTAGAATGTGTTCAAGTCTGGTCTAAGCTCTTTTACAACAGGGAATTATCTTAGTGTCCTTGTGAGGTTTTGTTGAAGTACTAGGTGTAAGTTGATTATGGCCAGGATGTGGTCTAGGGTAGCACCGGTGGTCCGAACGTCGAGGCTTTCACTTTAAATGTAAAAGAGCTTAATAGTGTCTCTCTATGCTGTGTAGTGGTGGCATCTAATACGTGATTAAGCTAAGGTAACTTACAGATATTAAAGTCTACAAAAAAGTTATAAAAATGTACTTGCTATTGTGAAGGGATGGTTTGTTGCCTGCTCAGGGTTACCACACTTAACTTCTGACGTTCATGTGATGTGTGAGGTGGCATGCAGCACTTGTTGGGATCACAAGTGGGCTTTTCTTCCCCACCCATTATGCTGGGGCGGAGGGTGTGTTGCAGCCTCCTTGTCCAGTGAGCTTGTCTAGTCCTGAGGGTCCTGTACCAAGACTGCTTGGCAGGCTGCTGTGATTGCATTGCTTGGATCCAGGTCCTCACCCTCAGGAGGTGCCACACTCCCACCGCACCACCATTTTAATTTTCCCCACCATTCCACAAATTTTCACATTTTTAGTATGCTGTATCTTGTATTCTTGGAACCCACATGGTATATTTCATGTCCATCCTCCAAGGAGCAGCCACAGCTGCTGCAGCCATGTCAGGTGCTCCCCCTGTGCCTCTCTTGTGTGTTCAGTGGCCCCGGTCCCTGCCCGTATGCAAGCCTCAGTCTCCACCACCACATCCGGGGCCTCCACCTTTGTGTAACATGACATGTCGCAACTGCTGCCGGGGCTGCCTACTAATCCCATCCTTGTTGTAGCCAAGTGGGTTCTCTCATTTTCTTGCATAAATCTTCACACACTCCAATCATTTTATTCTTGACATGTACTGCTTGCCATTGCCTTCACACTCCAAATGTAGCAATGAAGCCAGGAGCAATAAGGTGAGCTGTCGTGTCCGCCGTCTTCTCAGCCCTGTATTTTCTGGTAGTCAGCCGCAGTCCACAGGCTGAGGTGGTTGATAGAGCGGCATGTGTGATCCTGGTGGCCATGGAAGGTCACATGGCCAGGTGCTGGGAGGGCGGTGCTTGCGGCATGCCCCACGTATCCATGTGTTGGTGTTGTGTTGCCATGTTAGCAGGCGGCCGCCAGGTTTTACCGTGCTCACTCTGCCGCGCCAGAGGTTACCTAGTAGACCTTACTCCTAATCTTTAATGTCTGGCTAAGAACCAGCATTAAGTGTTGGAAAAGTCTGCATGGTGGTGGCCTGGCACGGCTGGCCTGTCCTCCCTATCGTACCACTGCACATTCCCACGAGCTAGTCAGGGCGGGGCACCACACAACACTGCCACCTGTGCCAGGTAGGTGGTGGCCCAACACCTATTGTCCAAGGGACATTGAACTGGTTCTGTGTGGGAGGCACCAACCCGCCCTTGGCACCTCTTGATAACCATGCCACATGATGCATATCCTAGCTGGTCAGTGTGCTTGGACAGGTCAGCAATGCTTTTAATATAATTATTTATACAGGCTTTCTTGTACTGGATGTTCCAATATGCATAAATAAATTTGGTCTCAGTGTTTACACCTGTACTTCATTTTTATTATCCTTTTTTACCATTTTTAATATATCTAGTGGTTCACACCTCTTCAAAGGGACCTCTTTGATGTGGTGGACAGGCTCTTGGTCTCAGGAATCAAATCCTTTGGTCTCCTTCCTTAGACTGAGTCTAAGTACCCCTCAATCCTCCCATCCCTATCTCTTCCTCCTCATACCCTCCCTTTTATTCCCTTCCCTCCCCTCTCCCAAACCTCCCCCCTTTTTCTCCATCCCGTTTGTAGCCTCTGGGGTCCTCCCCTCTGGCATTACGGTTTCTAGCCTCTTCAAGGGGGGGGCTCCTTGGAGTGGTGAAGAGGCTCTGAGGAATTAGACCTGTCGGTCTCCTTCCTCAGACCGAACCTAATTACCCCCCAATCCCCCCTTCACTATCCCATCCTCCCTATCCTCCCCTTTTCCCTTTCCTCCTCCCCACCCCTCCTTTTTGCCCTTCCTCTTTTTGGCCTTTGGGATTTTTTCCCACAGGCGCACTAGTTCCTAGGTAGGGGAAAGGGTACCGGGGTCCATCTCATTCCGTTGAGGTTCTTGGAGGTGGCATAGTTTGCCGTGGAATCTGGATCACCTGGGGATGTCCCGATCCCCCTCTGGTATCCCAGAGAGTGGCTTTGGGTGTCTTTCGGGCAATGGGTGTATCTGGAAGCCACCTTTCGGATTCCAGGGGTGGTGGCCGAAGGAGGTATGCTTTGTGGCGGATATCCGGCTGCCCTCTCTTTTGTCCACCGAGGTAGCTCAGCAGATGTGAGGTTGCTATCCTGGATTGCTGGTTTACTGGCATGAAGGGTAGGGTATGGCACGGGTTCCATGCTGCATCTGCACTACTAGCAGTGCTGAGGTCCTCTTGGGCGCGGAGGGAGATTTCCGGCCCTTTCATTCCTCCTGGGAACTATTCCTCCCTGCTCCCCCCTTTTTTTATTCTTATTTTTATTTTATTTTCTTTTTTTTTTCTTAAAAACAAAAAGCAAAGGATTAACCTAACCATGGAGAACCCAATCTATGAACCCACTACCCCTGGGCCCCTTCTTGATACTGCACCCCATTCGGACACTCCTGATGCCCCTGTACCTCTTGCTGGTGCTGTTTCCTCACCTGCTTCAGGTACCGGGCTTCGACTGACTCCTTCGATTTGTCTGACCTCCGCTCTCCTTTGACTATGCTTCCAGCCTCTCCCTCTACTGTACGGCAATTTTCGAACTGCCAGCCCATTTCACGACGGACCAACTCCAGTCCTACTCCTAAACGCCAACGAAAATCTCCTGATGTTCCTTCGTTACCTTCCCATTCTACTCGGAAAAGACCGACACGTCATGCACTCCCTCTCCACACTCAGTTTCGGACCACACAATGGACTAAATTCTTTACTTTAAGACTGACTTCGACTTCTTCTGCCTATCTTTTTGACCATAGTATTGGCAAAGCACTCCTGTGCCATGTTGGTAGAGATATTTCATTTCATGCTCTCAACAGCGGTACGCTCATCGTCACTGTCCAGAATGCTACCCAAGCTCATGATCTTTCTCTCCTTTCACATCGATACTACTCCTATCACTATTGAAAAACATCTTTCAATTCTTGTAGTGGTACTTCTCTTCAAGGGGGGCTCCTTGGCGTGGTGAAGAGGCTCTTGGTCTCCTTCCTCAGACCGAACCTAATTACCCCCAATCCCCCTCCCTTATCCCATCCTCCCTTTTTCTTTTCCTCCTCCTCCTCCCCACCCCTCCCTATTACCCTTCCTCTTTGTGGCTTTTTTTTTCCCACAGGCATGCTAGTTCCTGGGTAGGGGAAAGGTACTGGGGTCCATCCCATTCCATTGAGGTTCTTGGCGGTGGTGTAGTTTGCTGTGGAATCTGGATCGCCTGGGGATGTCCCAATCCCTCTCCAGTCTCCCGGGGAGTGGCTTTGGGTATCTTTTGGGCGACGGGTGTATCTCTGGAGGCTGCCTTTCGGATTCTGGGGGTGGTGGCCAAAGGAGGTATGCTTTGTGGCAGATATCCGGCCGCCCTCTCTTGTCCACCGAGGTAGCTCGGCAGATGTGAGGTTGCTATCCCGGATTGCTGGTTTACTGGCATGATGGGTAGGGTATGGCACGGGTTCCATGCTGCATCTGCACTACTTGTGGTGCTGAGGTCCTCTTGGGTGCAGAGGGAAATTTTTGGCCCTTTCATTCCTCCTAGGAACTATCCCTCCCAGGTCCCCCCTTTTTTATTCTTTTTATTTTCTTTTCTTCTCTTTTTTTTTTTCTTAAAAACAAAAAGAAAGAAGAAACCTAACCATGGAAGCCCTAGTCCATGAACCTGCTACCCCCAGGCACCTTCTTGATACCACACCCCGTTCTGACCCCGCCTCACCTTTGGACCACTCTTCAGACGCTCCTCATGCCTCTGTACCTCTTGCCGGTGCTGTTTCCTCACCCGCTTCAGGTACTGAGGTATAGACTGACTCGATTTATCTGACCTCCGCTCTCCTTTGACTATGCTTCCAGCCTCTCCCTCTACGGTGTGGCAATTTTTGAATCGCCGGCCCGTTCCACGTCAGACCAACTCTGATCCCACTCCTAAACGCCAACAACAATTACCTGCTGATGATGCTTCACCACCACCTCGTTCTTCTCAGAAAAGATGGACACGTCCTGCACTCCTTTTCCACGCTCAGTTTCAGAATAAAAAATGGACTAAATTCTTTACTTTACGACCAACTTCCTCTGTTGCCTATCTTTCCGACCATAGTTTTGGCAAGGCACTCCTACACCATGTTGGTAAAGATATTTCTTTTCATGCTCTTAAGAGCGGTACGAGCATCATTACTCTACAGAATGCTACCCAAGCTCATGATCTTTCTCTTCTTTCCCATATCGATACTGTTCCTGTCACTATTGAAAAACATCATTCCCTCAATTCTTGTAGTGGTACCGTCATTCTGCCCCCATACCATAGTTCAACAAAATTTCCAGACATGTGGCAATGACATTCTGAACAGCTGGAACTCCAAGATCTCCCAATCCTCAAGGTAGACACTTATGTTCTTTCTGCCCGCGGGTGGAGATAACTTTTGACAGCCGTGAACTCCCATCCTCAGTTTATGTAGCAGGACATCGGTTACAAGTTCGAAAGGTGATCCCTACATGCAACAGTGTAGAAATTACTGGCGATTTGGCCATCCAGCGAAATATTGCAGATCTATAGCCGAATGCCCAGTGTGTGTGGTGCCGATGACTATTCTAATACGTCTTGCAATCGGCCTCCTTTCTTGCCTTAATTGTCATGAGGCTCACCCTTCATACTCTCCCCATTGCCAAGTCTACTTAAATGAGCAGGAAATCCGTTACCTCAAAGAGGCAGAAGGCCTCCCTTATGCCATGGCAGTTTCTCATCTCCGCCTCCAAGGGAGACTACCTTGTGTTTCTTATTACTGTGTTTCAAAACGTCCCCCCACTTCTGGGGTCCCATCTTCTGCAGCCTCCTCTGTGGTTACCTCTCCCATAGTCCTGTATCTAATTTTTTTGCTGTCCCTACTTCAATGCCTCAGTCTATTCTCGCTTCTTCGTGTTCTCCCTCACAAGCCTCAGTATCGACGAGTTCTCGTACAACACCTCCCAATCGTCCCTCTACTTCTCAGAAGTCAAAAAAAAGGTCCTTTAAACCCTCCTTCCCTTCTTCCACCTCCTCATTTTACCTTCCCTGTCTCTGTACCTGGTTCTTACCCTCTCACTGGCTCTGTTACAAGTGTAGAGGTTCTCCCTCCTCATACTGTACCTTCCTCCCCTGTTCACTCCCAAGTTTCTTCCTCTTCTGCCTCTTATGTCCCCTTCCACGCTTCTTCTCCAGTTCCCTCCACCCTTTTGCCCTCCCCTACCTTGGTACAGTCCATTACAGTTCCAATCTTTACTCATCCTCTCCCTACCATCTCCAATATTGTCTCCCATACGACGTCTCTGAATTCCGAAACACTTGAAGCAATCTCTGAATATATTGCAGAGACCAAACCATCAAGGGACACTGATCCACCCTCTGTTCCTTCTCCTCTCCTCCATCTGGGCAACTCCTTTCTTCACAGAGCACCGTTCCTTCGCTGCTTGAACATTTTCCACTGCCTCCGCATGTGGACTTTTCTAACCCCTCTAGTCCGTAGGAACCTTTACCTGTGGATTTCGGGTATCTTTATCGTTGCCAATCATGGCCTATTTACAGTGGAATATACACGGCCTCGAGTAATTGGGGTGAGCTTCAGATGTTACTCTCCCAGTTTTTCCCTGTTGGTGTTTGCTTACAGTAACCAAAATTACGCTCTGCTGTTATCTATCCCATCTCAGGCTATAATTTATTGTATTCTTCAGATCCTTTTCCTGATGGGACCTTTCATGAAAGTGCCCTTCTTCTACGCACTGATATTCCGTACCATCAGCTATTTGTTCGTACTTCGCTGCATTACAGCAGCCCGTATCCACCTGCATAGATGGTATATGCTCTGTTCTTTATATCTTTCTCCTCGGGCATTATCTATTCCGGATATTGCCTTTCTTGTTTTGTCATTACCACCACTGCTTCTGTTACTTGGCGATTTTAATGCCCATCATTTCCTCTGGGGGGGTCTCACTGTGATTCCCGTGGCATTCAGTTAGAGGCATTTCTTGCTACCCACCCCCTCCATGTTTTAGATACAGGTACTCGCACCCATTTTGATCCTCGGACTCTCTCTCTCTCGCATCGATCTCTCAGTCTGCTCTTCCTCCGCCGCATTAGACTTCACCTGTTCTGTTCTCCTGGATTTACATGACAGCGATCATTTCCCCATCATTCTTACTTCCCCTTCATATTCACCACCTCTTCGTATCCCACGCTGGCAATTTGATCAGGCAAATTGGAATCTTTACTCACAACTAACTGTTTTTAGTAAGGTTCCTTCTTCGACCTCCATTGATGAGCTTTTACACCTCTTCTCCTCTGTTTTAACTGCAGCTTCTCATTCTATAC